TTTTGGCCGAGATTTCACGAATTTTTAATCATCCGCGTGCGCTTTATGAGCGGCATTTTGTTGCAGAGTGAGTTTCAAAAGCGCGTTTTTCAAAAATTTTTCTGGATAGAAACGCCCATCCAACGGTATTTTAAAGAGCGCCCTTTTCTTAACTAGTCCGCTAAAATTCAGGTTAATCACGCTTTTGGCCGAGATTTTACGAATTTTTAATCATCGGCGTGCGCTTTATGAACGACATTTTGTTGCAGAGTGAAATTCAAAAGAGCGTTTTTCAAAAATTTCTCTGTATAGAAACGCGGATTCAGCGGCATTTTAAAGAGCGCCCTTTTCTTAACTGGTCTGTTAAAATTCAGGTTAATCACGCTTTTGGCCGAGATTTTACGAATTTTTTATCATAAGAGTGCGCTTTCTGAGCGACAATTGGTTGCACAAAGAGACTCAAAATCGCATTTCCAAAACCTTCTCATGATTAAAACGCGCATTCAGTGGCATTTTAAAGAGCGCCCCTTTCTTCACTAGCACCCGAAAATTCAATTCAATCACACTTTTGACTGAGATGTTACGAATTTTACTCTACAACAGGCCATATTTCATGGCAGATTCCACTGTTTTCGACCCCAATTGTGAGATATTTTGCATATTCAATGTGAATAACTTTTGTTTATCATTTTTTTAATTTGCCGCTAAACTAATTCGACGCCTACACATGGCCAAATTAGTCTTTAAAAAACCCATCATTAACTCCTGCTAGTTAATGGTCTATGTCAACTGGCACATTATAATGAAAAAAAAATTAATGCGGTTTCCAAATGCGATAAAAAAACGCATTTACGTCTGAATTTTAATTACGTCCCCACCAACTGTTCATCCACATTGGAGTTCCTTTAAACAGCCATGGATGCTAATAACACCTTATATATAAACGGGGACCGTCAATTGAATATAAATATACAGTATTCGTTATTAAATTAGTACTTGAGCCAATAGTTGCAAATTGTTTATAGCAATGAAAGTTGTGTTGCTTTTGGTGGTCGTAGTCGGCGTGGCTTTCGGTGAGGAATATACCTCAAAATTCGACAATGTCGATCTGGACCAAATCTTATCAAGTGATCGGCTGTTACGCAATTACATTAATTGTCTGCTGGAGAAAGGAAAGTGCACGCCTGATGGCACTGAACTGAAAAGTACGTAGACGATTTTTTTGGTTTTTGCTCAAATTTTGCGTTCTTCACAGTGTCAGACCTGCAATGACTGCATTTCTACTCGAATTTTCCTCCTGAACATCTTTTCAACATCCAATTTACAAGTTGGCAGCAACAATCCAACAAAACAGTTTTGATTTTTTATCTGAATTTTCACTTTTATTCTGTTAAAGTTTTTTCAATCATTCCCGTAAATCAGCTGCTAATTTGGTAAGCTGCAACTGAACATAAAGTGCAGCAAACCAGCAAAAAAACGTGATTATTGAAAAAATTCTGCATAGATAACACAGAGGAAATCACAAACAAGTTGCGCTTCCAGAACCGATTTACTGCTTAAAAAATGGTCACTTAAAGCAATTTTTGTATTGAAACTATGCCCTAAAAGCCCCTAAAAGAATTCACCAGTTTTATGAATGATTTTTTAGAAAATTTGCCCGATGCCCTGGAAAATGAATGTTCCAAATGCACTCCCAAGCAGCGGGACGGGGCGAAGAAAGTGATTCGTTACCTCATCGAGAACAAACGCGACTACTGGGACGAGGTGGCTGCCAAATACGACCCAGAAGGCACTTATTACAAGAAATATCAGGAGCAAGCCAAAAAAGAAAATATAAAATTGTAAACAGTCGATTTACTTACACGAAATGGTAGTAGAAATAAAGTGATTAATCAGTTAAATCTTCTTGGGAATTTAGTTATTGAAAGGAAACTTCCTTGCATACTTGGGGGACATTCTGAACCCAATTTTCTTGTTTGTCCATTAACTGCTTAAACGTGCAATTAGCCAATTAAACGGCAGGCCAATGAAAAATTACCGCAGACAAGGTGGTTTGATGAATTCTAATGAAACATTACAAGTAATCGCATGTGATTAAGTGTGGTTGTTTAGGGAAAATTGCTTCGTATTAAAATATATTTACAAGTAGCTGGCAGGAGGCAAGTGAAACAACTTTCAAGGCGATCTGCGTCTATTTTGCTAGCGACAATATTCCATTGCAATTGTTACAGTTTGATGCCATTTTTCTCCAATTGTGCCTGGTAACGCGTGCGAAAAATGTGCTTTGGATCGAATCTGGCTTCCAGCTGATCAAAGTCGTTTCTCCGATGTTCAATTAGGAACTTGAGGGATTTTATGATGATTTTTTTCTGTTGCTCGCTGCACTTTTCACAGCCGCTGGCCAAAGCATCTGGTAGTCTCTCTGTAAAACAAATTTTTGGTTTACTTGTTGCCTCTAAACTGCTACGTTTTTCGCAAATAGAGTTTCACTCAGTGAATGGAGTTTTCAATTCTATATGCATTGATAGGAAAACGAGTTCCCTAATGGTTCAAGAGATACAAGAAGGAAGGCAACGCCCTGTTTGAGGCAATTTTGAAATCATCCGCCCAAAACTAATGGCTTTTTTATCTTGGCAGTTTGCGTGAAAATTGCCCACACTTTCCAAGTGATGTTTTACTATCTAAATGTAACTTCTAGTGCTCCTCTAAGTGCCGCAGAAATCAAAGCTCCAGCTCAATCTGTTTCTGAGATGTGAGCCAAAAGGTGGCGAAAAACATGCCATTTTCGCCCAATCCTACACGTAAATGTGCGATATTCAAATTGGGCCTTTTATGGGGAAACTGCCCCTGTTTCCCAAATAAACTTATACTTACTGGATGGGTTATTTCATTCTCTATCCAGTGGTAGGAAAACTTAAACATTTTGAAATAAAAAATGTATTATTTCCTTAAAATTGAGCGGCGTTTTGTTGCAGAGTGCGTCTCAAAAGCGCATTTTTCAAAAAAAATCTCGAAATAGAAACGCGCATTAAGCAGTATTTTAAAGAGTGTCCTTTGCTTCATTGGTGCCCTAAAATCCAATTCAATCGCGCTTTTGACTGAGATTTTACGAATTTTTAAGCACCCGCGTGCGCTTTATGAGCGGCATTTTGTTGCAGAGTGCGTTTCAAAAGCGCGTTTTCAAAAAAATTCTCGAGATAGAAACGCGCATTAAGCGCTATTT